TTTTTTAAATCAATAAACAAGAATAATTAGTTAGTAAATTAGTTAACAATTGAATTTTTTTAAAGTTTAAATCTAAAATTATTCAAAAATTCATATTTTGTAATTTGCATAATAATAATAAATTGAATATCACGTTCCGCGCTCTACTCTCTAAATATAAATTAGTAAAACTGTTTACTAATTTGAAAAGTTTAATAAATAAAGAAATAAGTATCTAATTAAATGAATAGAAAAACAAATAAAAAAGCTTTCTCATGGGGAAGCAAAAAATAAGTATAAATAAAAATAAATAAAAATAAATATATGAAAAAATTGAAAAATTCTAAACTTAAAAGGAAATTGAAAAATAATTTTGAGCCGAAAATAACTGAAAGTGAAAATGAGTTTCTCCTTTCTCGCGCAAGTATAAAAAATTCCATTTCTATAGAATTAATTAACATAAAATCAAAATATTCAGGGAGTTTTCTCCTATGAATCATTCCCCATACAGAAGACACGAGTTCACTTTCAGGATTACATACATATATATATAGTTTTTCTTCCTTCCTGTTTCTTTATCCGGATATGGTATGATATCAAGTCTCCTCCTTTGGGGCAAGTGGGAAATAATATAAAATTACGAAGGAGTAAAAAGATCGTTTTAAAGCTCTTATAATATGAGAAAGTCAATTCGCAGCAGTGTATATATCGACATGTGTATATATATAGAAGGCAGAACATGTATAGAACATGGCAATGTACTTGAATATCAGGTATATATGTACAGACATACATCCATAAGAGGAGACCGGGTTACCTAATAATTTAAAACCGCCAATTGGCTTGAAATTACATTACATTACCATTGCGAATGAACAGATGATTCAGCCGGTAATAAGATATCGGAACTTCTTGAAGCAAAAGTACTCTTCTTCTTTTACGTTCGCTTTTATGCTTGTTTCGTTATATAGCTCTTTCTTGTTGCATTCAAAAAACATCAATGTCGATGCCAATGTTACGAGGGAAATCATCTAAAGTCCTTTTTCAACGAATCAAATTATTTCGATCTCATTCCTTTTTTCATTTGGTCCTCATCCTTGCAGTTGCGAATGAATCTATTCAATGTTCGTTATATCGAAAAAGGATATAAAAATAAACCCAGCTCGTATTTTGTACGTGAATATGATATATAATGGAAATAACAATTTTCCAATTTTTTTTTGGATTTATAATAAATTTTTTATTTTGTGTTCACTACATTTGAATTAGTATAAAAATGTTTACTAATTTGAATTAGTGACTGACTTTTCTGCTTTTGAATTAGTAAATTTCACTAATAAATAAATTGTCATTTCTACAGAATTTATTATAGTAAATTTAACTAATAAATAGTAATTTCTACTAATTTGTTATAGTAGTAAATTTCACTAATAAATAAATTGTCATTTCCACTAATTTATTACAGTAAATTTTACTAATAAATAGAAATTTCTACTAATTTATTAATAATAATAATTTAATAACTAAACTTTCAGTACAAGTTGATTTTTATTAAAAATAATAGAAAAAATTTAATTTTTAGAATTCATGAGAAAATTCTGAATTTTTGTATATTTTTTTGGTTTGTCTCATAAACTAATAAATTACCACGAATTCTTTCAGGAATTTTAATAAAATTCTTTGAAAAAATTCAATTATTTTCATAAATAGCAAATATCCATTACATAAATTCAATTATTTTTAAAAGTAATACAATTTATTCTTTGCGGAAATTCAATTATTTTCAAACAATTTTCTTAATTCAATGATTTTCAATATCTATTATTTTAATACAATTTCCCAAAAGAATTCAATTATTTGAAAAAAAATTGAAAAAATTCTACACAAACATCCAATTATTTCCATAAATATTTTCATAAAAAATTAAATATTGTGAAAAAATAATTGAATTTTATAAGAGTTGCGTTTACAAATTTTATAAATAAATGAACTTCAAACGGTTTCAATTTGAAATTTTATAAAATTTAAATTTTGAATGAATTTAATTTGAAATTTTAAAGAACTTAGATTTTTTAAAAAATATAATAATTCCAATTCTTTCTGTAATTAGTTACATTTTTTAATACATATTTAATTAATTATATTAAAAATAATGGATTTATATTATAGAAGAATTTTAGTTAAAACACTAAAAAGCATTGAATTTTGCAGAAGTTACAAATAATTGCAGAATTTCAATTATTTCCAAAAGAAATAAAATTCTTCGCAGATATTCAATTATGTTTAAAAATTAAAAAAAATTCTCGTCAGAATTTCAATTATCTTTATAAATAATTATTTTCATAAATAATAACAATTTCACAGGAATTCAATTATTTACAAATTTTTAATAAATTTCTTCGCAATAATTCAATTATTTTCATAAATAATAAAATTTTTTACAGGGATTCAATTATTTTCACAAATAATAAAATTCTTTTTCGAAGGTAATTCAATTATTTTCATAAATAATAAAACTCATCGCAGGATTTCAATTATTCATAAATTTTTTGTAAATTTCATCGCAATAAATCAATAATTATTTTCATAAATAATAAAGAATTCACAAGAATTCAATTATTTACAAATTTTTAATAAATTTCTTTGCAAAAAATCAATTATTTTTATAAATAATAAATATATTTTCACAAGGATTCAATTATTTTCATAAATAATGAAACTCATCGCAGGATTTCAATTATTTTTAATGCAATTTTAATCGAATTCCTCGATAAATGTAATTATTATTAATTTTATTAAAATTCTTTCAAAAGAATTCATTTTTAAGAAATATTCAATTACTCAATGAATTATTTATTTTTGTATTTAAATAATTGAATTCCTGTAGAATTTTATAATAATAATTGATTTAAAAATGAATTCTAGTTAAAATTTTTGATATAATAATTGAAAATTCAAAAGCATTAAGAGGATGAATTTTTAGAAAGAATTGAATTTTACGAAGGTTTCAAATTAAAATTTTTGAAAATTTGAATTTTTTATTTTTAACTAACAATTCTGTTGAAAAAGTTAAATTGAATTTTTTTATAATTACATGAAGTTTTTAATTTTTATTAAATATTTAATTAAAGAATTTCCGAATAATTGAAATTTCGTAAAATTGAATTGTAAACAAATGGATTTGAAAATTCTCAAAGAACTTTTTCAAAAATTATTAAAAATAATTTATTTAAAGAAGTGTTTTAGTTAAAAATTCTGAAAAAAATTATTCAATTGAAATAATTGTATTAAAAAATTATCGATTTTACTTTCATTTTTTTTTTTTCTAGTTTCTTTGTCGGTATGAAGAAAAAATTCAAAATTCTTTTTATTTTATGAATATTTGATTTACTTGATGTTTATTGATTTATTTTCAATTTTTTAACAATAGTGTTGCTAAAGAATATTATCGATTTTAATTGCAATTTTGTTTTGCTGTTTTACTGTATTTTATTTATTATTTACTCATTTTATTTTTTATTTATTAATATTATTTATTGTTTATTAATATTATTTATTGTTTATTAATAAATATTAACTTTATTTTCTAATGTTTCCCTTTAGTACAACAAAAAATCTGAAAATTCAATTTTGCTTCTTAAAGTATATTTTCACTTAGCAAAATTGCAAGAAACTTTTGTTTTATTATTTGATATTTAATTTTCCATTTGCTCCTTAACGAACATATATTATTATAGTTTTGCTAAACAATTATCGGCCAGTTTATGTACTGTCTAGTGTCTGCAAATCATTATTTTTTATGGACTTTTTTGTGCAAAAAAAAAAGATTTAAAAAAGTTTTTATTTCTCTTATAACAACGTGAATGTTTTTAGTTGACAATAAAAGTTTGGAAAATATACGTGAGACACGTCGTTCTAAGACTATTTATCACATAAACGAGTAAATATGCGCAATGCGAGATTCCAAGCGGCACTGAATTTACATAAAATTGAGTGTAAACATGAAAACCTGAAAATATGGTCACACTATGCGTAGAGTGGGTGTAACATGCAAATTAAATAGGAAATGAAACTCAAAAACTAACGGGATGCATCAGTGGAGTAATCTTGAAATAGGAGAATATAAATAATATTCAAGTTTAACTGTTTGTATATGTATAGGTTTTTTTTTATTTATATATTTTTGTGTATTTTTTTGTCCATAAACACCTACAAAAAAAATATATATTTATATATTTTTGATATTAATAAGCATTTTATATTTAATTATTTATACATATTAAATTATTTATATACTGTTTATATTTTTTTTATATTATTATAGATTTACAAATTATATTCACCCTTTTCTACTAATTTACTTTTTTTATTCGCTATTCATTTTTCATTATGTTTATGAACAATTCATTTGCAATTTTTGTTTTTTATTTACGTATTTTCATTGTTTAAATAAATTTTATTTTATCTGCAATAACAAATATTTCTTTTTTATTTTTCTTCCGTTTTTTTGATTCGATGGTTATTTTTCATAATGTTTATAAACATTTAATTCGCTATTTTTTTCACAGTCAGTGTTTATAAAAAAATTTGTTTTTTTAAAGAAATTGCTTTTTTCTGAAAGTAAACAGTTTTGTTTAAAATTTAAATAAAATTTACTTTATTTGCAATAACAATTATTTATTTTTTAATTATTATTTTTCTTTTGTTTTTTGATTTGCTATTAATTTTGCATAATGTTTATAAACATTTAATTCACAATTTTGGTTTATTTATTTTTATTGTTTAAATTTTTTATTTTATTTGTAATAAGAATTATTTATTTGTTATTCAATTTTTTTTTTTTTTTGCTTTTTAATTCACCATTTATTTTTTGTAATGTTCATAAACAAATTTCTCTTTAAAAGAATTTGCTTTTTTCTGAACGGTTAACAGTTTTTTTTATAACAAATTCATGGGAGAAAAAAAAATCGTTTGCGATTAAATGATAAATATATTGACACAAGTTCCGTTTTATTTTATAGGATCGAGCAAGAAATGTTTCTGAGAGATTCACTTCAACGACGACTTTAGTCGTTAACATTAAAGACGACGACGATCAAGATCCATCTTTCATTTATAAAGGTTGTATGCTTCACAATGCCGCCTGCATCAATCCTGAATATTCTGCATCTGTGAGTTTCAAAAAATAAAAATAAAAAATATTCTTTACTCTCTGAATTTAAATTGATATTTTAGAAATTTGATTTTCGATTTTTTAAAGAAAAAAACAATATTGCTCTATTTTGATAATGAAGGCAAAAGAAAATATCTTATTTTTAATTACATGCAACAATTTTTGAAAAAGTTTCCTAAACAAATAGTCATTAATTATTTTTTTCTCAAATCCATCATTAAAAATAAAACATCATTTCCGGAACATGAATATTTCAAACTGTATTTTGAAATTAAAATGATTTCTTTTAAGTTCGATACAAAAAAAAGAGAAAAAAAATTTTTTCTCAATTACCCGAGAAAGGTGAGGAAGAAATGTATCTTGAGAGATCATTATCGATTGTCAATGTTTCTTTAAAGACTTTGCTATTAGAGTAAGAGCACAAGTGTTTTTCCTTTTTTTTTTTCTTGCCGCGGTATTAGTTGAACTGATCAATGATCGTCTTTAATCAGGTGTCTAGCGGAGTGCTGTCTGGAATTCTCAACATATCCCCAGAGAAGATTCAAGCGGTCGACATGGACAGCATAAATGCACCTGTTTATTATTCCTTCCTTAGTGGCAGTCCACCAAATTACAGAGATTTCTTCGAGATCAATCGTTCCACGGGCGCTGTTAGACAGATCAAGGCTGTCGATACGTCAGTCACTAAAAAATTTGACATTATCATCAAGGTACCCAGGACATTATTTCAATCAATTAAAAATTTTCCTGAAAAAAATTTTCTTCGTACAAAAATGAAAAACAAATAACGTTTCTTTTTTTTTAACGAATTTTTTTTTCTCACACTCATAATTTTTTTCTTCACAAATTTTTCATCAATACGAAAAATTATTTCAGTCAACTCTCGATAATTGAATTTTCGATAAATTATTTTTGTGGTTCCCTTGAAAAAATTTTCACACTCGAAACATTCGATATAAATAAAATCCTCGACAATTTGAATTTTTTTTTTGTAGAAAAAAATTCTAATTGCCGAGGAATTTATTTATTAACTTTATTTTATTGAATTTTTTCTGTAGAAAAAAAATTCAAATTGTCGAGGACTTTATTTATTATTGAATGTTTTAAGGTGTGAAATATTTTTCAAGGGACCAAAAAAAGAAATTCAAATTCTCGACAATTATTTTTTAATCGAGAAATATTTTTCTATAAAAAAAAAATTGTGGAAGGTTTTATTTATCGGATATTTCGAGTGTCAATAATTTTTTCAAGGAACCAAAAATTTTGACCAAGAAAATAAAATAGAATTTATTTGAATAAAGAAAGAAAGAATTAAATTAAATTAAAATAAATAAATAAATAAATAAAAAATTAAACTAAATTGAAATAAAATTTTTGTTAAATTAAATTCGTTCTGCTTTTTTTAGACTTTTTTTTTGACAAGTAGAATTAATTTAAATTAAATTTTGAATTTAATTAAAATAGATATAGAAATGAATAAAAATGGTTGTTAAATGTAATTTTTTTGTCGTATTTTTTAGGCGGTCGAAGCATCGGAAGCAGAACGTTCGGCAACGGCAAAATTAACAATTACTGTGAAGCCAGTGGATAGCAATCCACCAACAATAACAGCATCGGCAATCGAAGGTTTTGTTGATGAGAATGCGCCAATTGGTACTAGAGTTGTCGATGAGGAAGGAAATCCCATTCGACTGACAGTCACAGATGCGGATCTGGTGAGTAATCCGAATCGTTTTTCTTCTAAAGAATAAGTCACGAGATTCTCGAGAATTTTAGTTGGATGACTAAAGGGCACTTAGAACTTTCAATATTCTACTGTCATGTCCTTTATTTATTTCCCATCTCAACTGTAAATTTCAATTCTCGTTCTCCAGAATAATGAACGAAACGATTTTACCATTTTTTTTTTTAGACAATTTTTAAATATATTAATTTTATAGAAAATTAGTAATTAATTAAAAATTAAATTAAAAAATCATTCATTAATATCATGAGAGATTAATCATTAATTTCATGGAGAATTAATAATTAATTTTATAGAGAATTTTTTTAATTAATTTTTTTGGAAAATTAATAATTCATCTTATGGGAAATTAATAGTATTTAATTTTGTAGGAAATCTTTAAAAATTTATTTTCATGAAAATAAACAGGAATTTCTCTGAAAATTAGTAATTAATTTTATAGAAAATTTTTACTCCGAAAATTAATCATTAATTATGCAAGAAATTTTTTTTTTTAATTACTTTTAGGGAAAATTAATAATTCATCTTATAGGAAATTGATATTTAATTTTGAAGAAAATTTTTTCTAATTAATTTAAAGGAAAATTAGAATTTTATTATATTTTTTTATTAATTTCATTGAAAATTAGCCATGAATTGAATTGTGAATTAAAAATTCATTTTTTAGAAAAATTTTGCTTCTTAATTTCAAGGAAAATTAATATTCTTCTTATGGGGAATTAATAATTATTTTTATGTAGAATTTTTAGTTTTTAATTTCAAGGGGAGTTAATATTAATTTTACAGAAAATTCTTCTCCCCTAAAATTAATAAATAGAAATTTTTATGGAAAATTAGTATTTAATTTTGTAGGAAATTTTTTCGAAATAATTTACAAAAGTAAGTAGTTAATTTTGTCAATAATTAGTAATTAATTTTGTCGATAATATTAATAATTGATCTTTTGGAAGATTAATAATTATTTTCATGGGAATTGTTAATAATATTTTAATTTTAATTTTTACACTTTTTTGTCTTGAAATTAATGCAGAGAATTGATGATAATTTGCATATTTTTTTTTCTTCTCTTTTTTTTGCAGAGTCCTGAGGATCCGAAACCATCGTACGTTTTTGAATTGACGACGAATTTTTTTACAATCGACCAATTTGGAATACTCGTTGTTAATGAAGAAAATCTCGACCGAGATCCACCGAGCCCAGGACGTTTCCGCTTTCAAGTCGTTGCCCGTGAAAAATCCGGAGTCGCTGCATCCTCTCCGCTTTCATTCACTGTCACATTGAACGATGTTAATGACAATGCCCCTCAACTTCCGATGATTCCTTCTATAACTGTTCAGGCAGGCGAGACAACCAGAGAAATCGTTAAGGTGCAGAAGAAAAAACGAACTAAATTCTTTTATTCTTTTAGCATTTTGTCAAAGAGAGAGAGACCATTTTTAAGGCTAAAAAATATTTTTCATTTTAATCAAAAAACTCTTTGAGAGTTTTTTATTTTTATTTGCTTTTAAATAATTTCCCTAAAGTTTCGAACGTTCGAATGAATGTAGAAAAAATCGTATTTTTTTACTGTTATTTTAATTTGAATTTTATTGAACAAAATTATTTTGAACAAGAAAATTAATCTTTTTTTGGCGAATTTCATTTTTAAAAGTTTTGTCAATATAAATTAATATTAATATTTTAATTTGAAGTAATATTTGCGTTTGAATTTTAATATCTGAGTTTTAATTAATATTTGAGTCTGAATTAATATTTAAGTTAATATTATTTGATATTAATAATTATTATTATTTTAATTTGAATTAATAGTTGAGTTTGTCACTATTACAAATTTAAATTTTTATTCGATTTTGAATTAATATTTGAATTTGAATTTTAATATTTGAATTCCAATTAATATTTGAATTTGAAGTAGTATTTGAGTTTCAATTATTATTTGAATTTGAATTAATATTTGAGTTTGAATTTTAATATTTTAATTTTGACCTTAATTTGAAGTAATTTTTGAGTTTCAATTGTTATTTGAATTTGAAATTTTGAATTAATATAATTTAAGATTAAATTTTAAATATTGGAATTCCCTTTAATATTTGAATTTAGAATAATATTTATTTAGAATTTTTGTTTGAATTTGAATTAATATTTGAGTTTGAATTGTTATTTGAATTTGAATTAATATAATTAATTTTGAATACTAATATTTAAATTCCATTTAATATTTAAATTTAAAGTAATATTCGGTTTTGAATTTTTATTTGAATTTAAATTAATATTTGTGTTTAAATTTTAATATTTGATTTTCGACTTTAATTTGAAGTAATATTTGAGTTTGACTTATTATTTGAATTAATATTTGCGTTTGAATTATTACTTTAGTTTGACATTTAATATTTGAATTAATATTTTAGTTTGAATTTTAATATTTGAAGTAATATTTGAGTTTAAATTGTTATTTAAATTTGAATTAATATAATTTAAGTTTGAATATTAATATTTAAATTCCATTTAATATTTGAATTTAAAGTAATATTTAATTTTGAATTTTTATTTGAATTTGAATTAATATTTGAATTGGAATTATTAAATTTTTGCGTTTGAATTTAATTTGAATTAATGTTGTGTTTGTGTTTAAATTTTAATATTTGAATTTGAATTATAAATATTTCAGTTTGAATTTATATTAGAATAAAAATGAATTTATTCTATTAATAATAATTAATATTAATATTCAAATTTGAATTAATATTTGAGTTTGAATTGAAATTGAAATTTGAATTAATATTTAAGTTGGAATTAATATTTGAATTTGTATAAATATTCGAGTAAATATCAATTAATATTAATCAAGAGTAATTAACAATTATAACAATTAATCAACAAAAATCAATATTAATATTTCAATTCGAATTAATATTAAAAAATATTTCCAAAAAAATTTTCAACAATATTGAGAGTAAACATTTGCCTAAAATTTTGGATATTTTTTTTTTATTATCAGGTTGCGGCGACTGATAACGACGAGGGTGAAAATGCAGAGATAACGTACAGTATTTATCACGTGTCAAATAATGGACTGCAGAAATTTCGAATTGATTCGAAAAGTGGCATTATTGAGTCTATCAGGAAACTAAATGCCGGCGAACAATACAGCATAACGGTCCAGGCGACTGATAGTGGTGGAAAGCATTCCCAGGTGATTGTCGAAGTTAATGTTTTACCTGGACCCAATACCAGGAGTCCCGTTTTCCGGCAACCGGTGTATGAGGTACAAGTTAGCGAAGGTGCCTCCATCAATTCAACTGTTGCCAGTATCGTTGTAAGTGCAATTATCATCATTCAAACGCTATCTAGTCGAATGCAGTTATTTTCAAAATTTCGTATACATACAGTTCCCCTCTTATCGAAAGGCGATTTAAATATTAAGAGAATGAATATTCCTATTTACTATTTTATTCGCTTGAACTGAATTTTCGATGATCTGCTTTTTCAAAGCTTTGAATTTAAATAGAGGGTTATTAAATTTAAAGCTTAATTGAAAATTCACGCTTCACACTCGTTAGTTAGGGGAAAAAAAAGGAGAGAAAGAACAGCTCTTGTGAATAGGATGATTTTTTTGGACTTTTTTCGACTATTTTGGAAAAATGAGAATTTTTTTCAACTTATTTTTAAAAACTGCGACTTTTGTTCCGCATATTGAAACAAAATAACGCTTTTTTGCTGCAAAAAGCTACTCATTTCAATTTTCATTGTGTGAAAATCTGAAAAATAATATTAGTCAACTCTTTTCCTGCAAAATTAATTTTCATTGTGTTAAAAAAATAATATTAGTCAATTCTTTTCCTGTAAAATAAATAAATTATCCTGTAAAAAAAGGAAGTCCTGTAAAATTTAATTTAATAATAATATTAATATTATTATTCAAAAATAATAAATTTTAAACAAATAAATAAACTTTAGTCCTAAAAAGCGAAATTATTATTCATCAAAATAAATTTGCAAAAAAAATAGTTTAAAAAAAAAGTTTAACTCAAAATTCAATTTTGAAAAAATATTAAAAACTATTATTTTCAAATTTATTTTTGAGTTAGACTTTTTTTTACATTTTTATGAATTTTTACAGTAAATGAGTTGTCACAGGAGAGGGATATCTGGAAAATTAGGGAATTTCATCCAAAGTAGTAAAAAAAAATAATTAAATTTCTAGAAATTCTACAAAATAAAAACGGTTTTTCTGAGTCCTTTATAAATAGTGAAAAACTTAAATTGAGGCTCCGGATTTTAAAAGGGCACTTTTACCATTTAAATTCAATGCTGAAAGAGCCCTTTTAAGATCCCGAGCTTCAATTGTCCTTGACTTTTCTTTTTCATATTTACTTTTAAAAAATCATGTGAATTTACAGTTTTAATTTTCATTTTTAAAAATTTTAATTTTTATATTAAAATCATTGAGTTTTCGAATAGCCTTCTCAAAATTATTTAAAAAATAATTGATCTATAGAGAAAAATTTTAGTTCAAAGTTCTAGAAAATAATTGAATAATAAAAAAAGTTACTGGCAAGGACATTTTTTTAAATAACTTAATTTTAAAAGCTTTCAAAATTTTCGAAAATTTAATTTTTGAATTGGATTGGAAATAATTGAATTTAACACTTATAGCAAATGAACTCCTTTTTTTGGAATAATGGAATTTTCAAAGAACATTCTCGAAATTATTCAAAATAATAATCATTTAAAAAGACTTTTAGTTAAAAATTCTCGAAAATAATTGAATTTTTGAGAAGATAGTATCAATTTTTAGAAATTAAATTCTTTTTTTAGTTTCTGACTTTTCTCTTTAGTTTCAAAATAAATATTTTTGATAATTTCAATTGCAGCAGAAGTTCAATAATATTTAAATATTTTATTTTCAAAAGTTATTAAACTTTTGAGGAATTTTATTTTAAAATAGTAAATAATTGGATTTTTAAAAAATTTCCTCAAAATTGTTAATAATAATTTATTTAGAAAAGAATTCTAATTAAAAATCTTAGAGAATAAGAATTGAATTTTTGAGAAATTCCAGTAACAATTTATAGAAATTAATTGTTTTTACTTTTAGAAATTTTATTTACAAAAGTTGTTAAACACTTTTAACAATTTAATTTCAAAATTCTATAAAATAATTCAATTTTCAAAGAATTTTCTCAAAAATATTAAAAAATAATTTATTTAGAGAAGAACTTTAGTTTGAAATTTTAGAGAATAATAATTGAATTTTGGAGAAATTACAGTTAACAATCTTTAGAAGTTAAATTTTTTTAGTCTTAGATTTTTGAGTTAGAAATAAAATATTTTTGAATATTCTAAAACAAAAATTTAATTCCTATGAAAATATAATTAACAATAAATATTTAAGTAATTATTTTTTTTAAAAAACTTAAAATTTGTTGAAAAAAATTTTAATGTCCAGCGAAAATAATTGATAACTTTTCCAATAATTGCAATTTTATTAAAAAGAATTGAATATTTCAGACAATTTTATTAAAATTTATAAAAAATAATTGTTTTCTTGAAGAATTCAAACTGAGAATGTCGAAAATAATTGAATTTTACTAAAGCAGAATTGAAATTACTATCGTGATAATTTTGTGGAAAAGAATTTAATATTTTCGAGAATTTTATTTAAACGTAGATATAAAAATAATGATTTTCTTGAAGAATTTTAATCAAAAATGTCGAAAATAGTTGAATTAAAATTATTATCGGGATAATTTTATAGAAAAAAAAAATTGAACAATAATTAATGAAAAAGAATTGAATCTTTCAGACAATTTTATTAAAATTTATAAAAATAATCATGTTTTTGAATAATTATAACTGAAAATGTTGAAAATAATTAAATTTTATTAAAACAGAATTTAAATTACTATAATGATAATTTTATGGAAAAGAATTGAATATTTTAGAGAATTTTATTAAAATTGATAAATAGAAACATCATTTTCTTAATAAGAATTACTACTGAAAATATAAATAATTGAATTTAAAAAAACAGAAATAAAATTATCGCGAGAATGAAAAAAAGGTTATATTCTTTCTAAAAGTTAGAGAAAAATCAAAACACTGAAAATTAAATTTTATTTCCATTAATATAATTGTCGATTGAATTTCGCTGGATCCTTTATTTAAATGAAATGTTGAATAAAATCGATAAAAAGGAATTGAAGAAAATTGAATACTTATGTTTTAATAATAATTTAATTTTTAATATTTTTAATAATAAAATAAATGTAATAACAATATTATGTAAATTATGGAACAATTGTAGTAAACATAAAATTCCAAGTGCCTCCAATTATTGCCTTCCTATATCGTTAACAACAAACCAATAAATTGTTGAATTATGAGGCAGACTATTTTCCTATCTGCATATCGTTTATAGCAGGTCGATGTGTAAGGTGACAGAAATGCAAATTATAAAATGTTTCTCATTTATTTATTATTAGAGGTTGGATGTAACTTGATGCTAGGAGTTAAAATGAGTATTAAAATAAGCAGATTGGTAACAAGGGGGATGTAACAAGTGCAAGGATATATTCATTCTTTTTTTTTTTCGTTTTTATCTTTTTTTCAGGCAGTGGATCCGGAAAACGATCCAGTTTCATACTCTATCGTCTCTGGTAATGACCTGAGGCAATTCGCTATTGGTGATAAATCGGGTGTTATCACCGTTATAAGGAAGTTGGACAGAGAAGACCTGACTCGATATCAGCTGGTAAGTGTTCAGCCAAAGGGAATGTTTCGCCTCTCTTCCTTTTTCCGTTTGACTTACACTCGACGACAATAATTCTATCATAACGCTCATTCCTAACGGATGTTTGCTCTCAAATATTGTTTCATGCACTCGACTGTGTGAAGGGGATGGAATTAATTAAAAGTTTTTTTTAATTTCATTTTTTTGTTATTATATCAATTTTTTTTCTCTTTTTGGTTATTCTATTTTATTTATTCTGTTTTGTTTTGTTTAGTCTATTGTGTTTATTTTACGCTGACGAAAAAAATATTTATTTAGTTCAAATAAACGATTGTCTCTTATCAAATAAATGTCTATTTGTATCAAATAATTTTTATTTAAGTCGATGTTATTTTTTTATTTGTTTATCAGTTTTTTATTCCGGTAATCTGTTCACAGTTTAAATATTAAATGTTAATTTTCAATTTTAAAAATTAATGTACTGAAAATCATTGAATTCTTGCAAAGTATTTGTCAAAAAATTTGAAAATATTGAATTCATTTCAAGAATTTTATCAACATTTTTTTCAATAATTAAATTCTTTCGAGAAAATGTAATAAAAATGTAATAATAATGATTCTTTTATAGAATTTATTTTAATTTTCTTGAACATAATGGAGTTTTATAAAGATTTTCTTTTACGTTTTTAAAATAATAATTTAAAAAATATTTATTAGAGTTTTTGTAAATAATTACATTTTGTTTTTTAAGAATTTCATTAAAATTTCGTAAAAATAATGAAATTTTTGAAAATAATTTTAATTAAAATTTTATTAAATTACAATTTTTAAAAATAATTGAACCTGTTATAGAAATTTTATTAAAATTGTATTGAAAATAATTGAATTCCTCCGAAAGATTTTATTATTCATGGAAAATAATTGAATTTCTTTGAAGAATTTTATTATTTGTGAAAATATTTTAATTCTTGCGAAGAATTTTCTTATTTATGAAAATAATTGAATTCTTGCGGAAGATTTTACAATTCATAAAAATAATTGAATTGTTTTGAAGAATTTTATCTGAATTTTTGAAAGTAATTGAATTTTTTGAAGTAATTTTATTAAAAATTTTAAAAATAATGATTTTTTTTAAGAATTTCATCAAAATTGTCGAAAATAATTGAATTTATATTAAAATTCTTGAAAATAATCGAATTATTTGATTCAAGTAAATATTTATTAGATAATAAGCGAACAATCAGCTATTTGAATTTTTTTTCTCTGTTTTTTACTTTATTTGTTATTATTTCAACTTTGTTTTGATTATTCTATTTTGTTTATTCTGTTTTGTTTATTCTATCTTGTTTATTCTCTTTTTTTATTCGGTTTTATTTATTCTACACTAAAAAATTGTTTATTTACTTCAAATTTAATTAATACGAACATTATTGTTTCAAATACAATTTATTTCATTAAATGAAAATTATTTGATTCAAGTAAATATTGTTTTGATAATATGCAAACAATTAGTTATTTGAATTTTTTTTTGTTCTATTATTTATTTTATTTGTTATTATTTCAAATTCGTTTTGATTATTAAATTTATTTAAGTCAATAATATTTATTTATTTGATTATTATCATTTATTTGCTTTGAATACAAAAATTATTGGTTGAAATACAATTTATTTGATTTCAATAAAAATTATTTGATATTAGACAAGTAATCGGTTATTTTAATAACTTTTGTTTAATTTTTTGCTTTTATTTTCGAATTTTTTTGTTTATTCTATTGATATTTTTTCTATTTTGTTTATTTTAAACTGGAAAAAAATGCATTTGATTTTAATAGACAATTATCTATTATCAGATAAATATTTATTTGCATTAACTAATTTACATTTTACTGAAAATTTATTTTTTATTTTTATTTAATTGCTTTATTATTATTTATTTGCTTAAAATACTAAAATTATTGAATTAAATACAATTTATTGAATTAAATAAAAATTTTTTTTTTCTTTTTTAGTAATAAAACTAATTTTAGTGACTCATATTTTTTCTCAATTTTATCGAATTGTATTTTTTTCGTTTTCCTCTTAAATAATTTAAAGTTTTGTATAAAGTTTTATAATTTATCGAACTTCTTTTTTCAGTTGATTAAAGCGGAGGATTCTGGAGGATTATCAAGTACGGCTACTGTTAATATCAGAGTTACGGATATTAACGATGAAAATCCAAAGTTTGAAGGTCTTCCTTATGAGTTTATGGTTAAAGAAGGAGAAACTCGAAAATTAATTGGTCGCGTGCATGCTGAAGATGCTGACGAAGGAATTAATGCTGTTGTTACATATTTTGCCCCCGACGACGTTCCCTTCACGGTTGATCCTGAAACAGGAGACGTCCTAACTAAAGTCGCATTGGATTATGAACAGAATCACGTCAGTTTATTATTAATCTTGTCTTTTCTATTTTCTTTTTCATTTCGTCTTTTTTATTTTATTTTTCCTTTTTTTTGTTTTATTTTTCATTTTATTTTTCATTTTGTCAGTTTTGTTATATTTTTCATTTTGTCATTTTTATTTTATTTTTCATCTTGTCTTTTTTGTTCCATTTTTCAGTTTGTCTTTTTTATTTTATTTTTCATTTTATATTGTTTTATTTATTTGTTATTCTATTTTTTGTTCTACAATATTTTTATTTATTTACTATTTCATTTTTTCTGCTTTTTATTTACTTTTTTACTATTTATTTATTATTTTGTTTTTTATTTGGCATTGTTTTATTTTATTTTTGACTTTTTTTTATTTTACGTTGTTTTATTTTATTTTCTTTGACTTTTTTTTATTTTACAATTATTGTCTTATTTGTTATTTTATTTTTTATTTTACATTGTCTTATTTCCTATTTTTGTTACTTTTTTTATTTATTTATTTATTTATTATTTTTTAATCCTCTGGCAATTATTTTCTTTCTTTTGTTCTCTTTTCCTATATTTTGAAAGCAAGAAATTTCGTTTTGGATGTAAATTTTCCGCTTTTTTCCTTTTTCTTATTGTTGAAATTGTGTTGAGAAATTGAATTTCTTGTTTGACTAGGAATACAAATTTGTGGTAACTGCTCGAGATGGAGCACCGGATCACCGATTAGCAACAGCCACAGTCACTGTAAAAGTTCAAGACGTGGAGGATGAGGTACCAATTTTTCATCAAAGTAGTTACGAAGCCCGAGTGAGAGAAAATATTCCTGATAATACTGTCGTTCAAGTCATAGTGAGTTAAATTGCTTCCAATTTTATTTAAGTACTTTTTGTTTATTTTTCTCTTTCCTTATTCTATTATTTCTTTCTCTTTTTTTTCTTCTCATTTATTTATTTTGCTTTTTATTTATAAAATAAAATAAATAAGAATAGAAATAAAATAGAATAACATTTTTATTTATTATTCTATTGTTAATTTTTTATCAAGAATATATTTTTAATCGTTTGAAAATTTTTTTTCTCCAAGGCCGACGATCCGGATACGACAAAGCGAATTACCTACGAATTGAGACAAGGAGATACGGAGATTTTTGAAATCGATGAGAAGACTGGAGTTATTAAAACGATTCGCGGTTTGGATTATGAAAAGGAAAAGCAGCATATTCTCATTGTGGGTACTTTGGAGAATACGAGTGATTTGCCTGGATCGACTACTCGAGTTGTTGTTAATGTTGAGGTAAATAGAAGGCCTTTCAATTTCCACTGAAGGCTGAACAAAAAAAGAGAAGAAAATCTTTGAAATTCTGTTTAATTATTTTCGAGTACCGTTTTTTTTTTTTTTACTGGATCAATATTTGTTTTAATTAAGAGGAGAAAATATTGAAATGAGAAGCAGTTTTTTGGTTTCATAACAAGAAAATAAGTAAACTTGAGATTTTGAATAAGTAAATAATCATTATAATTGCATTTGTTTATTAACATTCGACAATATTGTATTGTTCCCAAGAGGAGTTGTATTCCATGTTATTTTCCAGGACGTGAATGATATACCACCAGTCTTTACATCAGTGCCTCGACCCGTCACGCTCGATGATGATATTCCCATAGGAACGACCGTAATAAATCTTATTGCCGCCGATTCCGATGGTACATCTCCGGGAAATCAGGTAAATATCAAAAAGTCTTTATATTCCTGATTTAATCACATCAAATCATTCCCAAGTATTTCAAATACATTTTTATTGAATTTATACTAAATTTAATTTCATATCAAACTAAAAGCATTTTATTTTGTAAAAAAAAAATTTCCAGGTTCGCTACGAAATAACAGGACGGGGCATTGCCAGTAAATATTTTATTATCGATCCGGATACTGGTGTTATTAGAGTACGAGACGATCTGCGCAAGGAAACTGACACTGAATATCAGGTTGATTTTTTTTCGCTCTCAATTTAAAAAAAAAATGCAATTTTACTTTCTTTTTATTGAGATTTAATGGAAAAAGTCATTATCTTGAAACTCAACTTTTTCAATTTTATGAATAATTGAGTTTTACTGTATTTATTTTAATTTAAAAAAAATTCTATTTAGTCGAGTACTAGGAAATATTTTCAAGTAGCTGGAAAAATTTCGCGGTATATTGAAATATGTACTTATAAATAATTAAAGAATTATACTCTTGAAATACTGTCGAGTGTCTTGAAATAATTTCGAGACTCTCAACGTTTTCTCAAGATTTGGTAGAAAATATTTTTGAGAATGTATTTTTTTATATGTAGCTCGCAATATTTATTTCTTTAGCTCGAAACATATTTTGTATTTCAATATTTCTTTATCTGAAAATATTTTCTCTAGCTCAATATTTATTTATCTTAAAATAGTTTTTCTATCTCAATAATTATTTTTTCCAGTTCTTGTAATTACATGGACTAGAAAAAAAATTTGGAGAATTTCTAAATTTTCTATTTTAACGGAGAAAAAACGAGGAAATTTTGCAAGATGGGAGTTTTTAATTTCGGTTTTTGTATTTTTAGGTGGATGTTCGAGCTTTTGACTTGGGAGATCCTCAACTATCGTCGATGACTTCGGTTCAAATTTTCATTCGACATGTGGCGACAGTGGCACCTGAAATTGGACTCGGCTTCGCTGAGGATTCTTACAACGTGGACGTTTCGGAAGATGCCGTTGATAATTCGTTGATCAAGACACTTACTGTCATTAATTCACATGCCCATGACACCACTCCATTAAAGTGCGAAATCTATAGTGGAAACGATGACGGGCTCTTCGAGACCAACGTGACTGAAGAGAGAAATTGCGCTCTCAGATTGAGAAAAGGAGCACTCGACTACGAGACTACAGAATCCTATCAAATCAAAATCAGATTAATATCACTTTCCGGTCTACTCAGATCCGACCGAAATACAACAATGGTTCGTAAAATTATTTCTAAAAAAAAAATAGAATTCTAAGCCAATAAATAATGACATATATCGATAGTAATTAAAATATTCCGAAAGATAATTATTATATTCTTAATATTTAAAATATTCTGAAAATTTACAATTTAGTTAAACTATTCCAAAAATAGAAATTTATAACAATTATACAGGATTGCCACAAGAGACAGGGAAATCGGGGAATTCAGGGAAAAGTCAGGGAAAATAAAATTGGCCAGAGAAATGTCACGGAATTTGATCAAAAGTACTGGAAAAATATGAAATTTCTAGTATTATTACAAATTTTCAAATATTTGGTTTTCAGAGACATTTCTAAAATATATAAAAACCGTGAATTATTCATTTTTCTTCTCCTTGAATTTTTATTCACAGTAAAAATTTTTGAATCATAATGAATTTTAAAATAATACATTAAATTTTTCTTATTAAAAATAATTAAATTTATTTCAAATCATTGAATTCTAAAATATGTTTATAAAAATTAATAATTTTATAATAATAAATAAATAAATAAATAAAAAAAATTTTAATCAACTTAATTATTTTAGTTCAGTTTTAGTTTAGTTAGTTTATAGTTATTTTAGAATTTATTTAAAATCAGTAATAATTTTCAAAAATATTTTTAAAAAACTATTTAAATATCAAATAATTTTATTTTAAATTCTAAAAACATTGTTTCCATTTTTTTATAAATATTTCAGTTCTAGTTTTTGAAAATTCAATTAAAGATAGGTACTTGAAATTTTATAATTATAATTTTATAATTGTAAGTTTGTAAAATAATTGAAATTTCCTAAAATTCTAATAAAAATTATTGAATTTGTTAAATAATTTATTAGAATTTTTAAAAGCAATTGATTTCCTTTGAAGAAATTTATTCAAAGTTTAAGGGCATTTGAACCTTGATGACGTTTCAGTTTGTGCAAAGCATGTGTGACGTCATCAAGGTTCAAATGCCCTTAAAAAAATAATTGAATTCTTTCAAGCAAAGAATTTTATTTTAATTTTTCAAAATAATTGATATTATTCGAAGAATTTTATTAAAATTTATAAAAATAATTGAATTCCAGCGAAAAATTTCATTATGTTTGAAAAAAATTAAATTCTTTCGCAGAATTCTTTTAAAATTGTATAGAAAATAATTGAATTTCTGCTAAAAGTTTCATAAAATAATAAATTTTTTTAAAAGAATTTTAGGATTAAAATTTTTTAATTATAATTAAAAGCTTGCGAATAATTTTATTATCTATGAAAATAATTGAATTCTTGCTAAGAATTATTATTATCTACAAAAAATAATTTAATTCTTAAAAAGATTTTTATTGCAATTTTTTAAAAAAATTTATTAAAATTTTTAAAAGCAATTGATTTCCTTTGAAGAATTTTATTCAAAGTTTTTTAAATAATTGAATTATTTTAAAGAATTATTATTATCTAAATAAAAATAATTGAATATTTGCAAAGAATTTTATTGTAATCTTTCAAAATAATTGATTTTATTCGAAGAATTTTATAATTATTTTAAAATAATTTAATACCTACGAAAAATTTCATTATGTTCGAAAACAATTGAATTCTTTTGCAGAATTCTTTAAAAATTGTATAAAAAATAATTGAATTTCTGCGAAAAGTTTCATTACATTTGTAAAAAATTAAATTCTTTCAAAAATAATTTTTATTTTTAAATTTAAATTATCTATGAAAATAATTGAATTCTTCTAAATAATTTTATTGAAATTTTTAAAATAATTAATTTTTTTAAGAATTTTTTTAAAATTTTGTTGTATAATTTAAAAGTTTCCCCATAATTTTATTATCTATGAAAATAATTGAATTCTTTCGAAGAATTATTATTATCATCATCTATAAAAAATAATTTAATTCATAAGAATATTTTTATTGTAATTTTTTTATAATAATTGATTTTTTCAACGAATTTTATTAAAATTTCTACAAATAATAATTGAATTCTTGACAAAAGTGTTTTATTATTTTCCAAGACAAATAAATTCTTGCGAAAAATTTTTTTAATGTTATATTGAAAATAATTGAATTTCTGGAAAAGTTTTATTATTTTTGAAAATAATTTGTGCGAAGAATTTTATGAAAATTTTTGAAAGCAATATAATTATATTGTTGAATTTTATTTAAAATTTTGAAAATAATTGAATTCTTGACAAATAATTTTATTATTTGTAAAAGTAATTGAATTCTTGCATTCAATTTTTATTATCCATGTAAATAATTGAATTCTTGCAATCAATTTTATTATCCATGGAAATAATTAAATTCCTTCGAAGAATTTTCTTTTATTTTTTTTTAAATAATTGATTTTTTGCGAAGAATTTTATTATTTACGAGAAAATAATTTAATTTTTACGAAGAATTTTGTTGGTATTTTTGAAAATAATAATTACTAAATTAATTAATAAGTGAATTTTTTTCAAATTTAAATCTGAAATTACTGAAAAATTAAAATTGTTGTTTGTAAAGGAAAAATTATTTAGGGATCGAGAAAAAAGTTAAAATTCTTTCTGGAAATCAGGGTAAAGTCAGCTAAAATGGAAATCAAATTTTTGTGGCAACCCTGTTATGTTGTAAAACCCTGTTATATGTAAAATATTCTCCAAAAGAAAAATTTATACTTTAATTTCCTCTTCCTTTCAGGTCAAAGTCCAAGTACTTGATGTGAATGACAACAGTCCGGAATTTGAATTTCCCGACATGAATATAACTTCGGGCCGATATTTTGCAGCAATTTCGTCAACGGCAAAATTCTCGACTGCGGTTCTTCATGTGAAAGCCCACGATAGGGACAGTGGGAAATATGGAAAATTAGAGTACACAATTTTAGAGGGACAGGGTTCAAACTATTTCGCCATTGATTCATCGTCCGGCAGTATTACAACTGCGGCAACATTTGAGAATGTCAATTCCGAGGAATTGCCATTTAAATTTAATGTACAAGTTCGAGATAATCCAAATTCGACGAGTAATTTTAATATTGCCGAGGCGACTGTTATTGTGAATTTAATTGGCGAGGAGAATTTATTGGTCATGTCAATTGAGAAGGCTGCTCATGAAAATTTACACAAGGACGGTCCAAAAATTGCGAAACTCATTGAAGAAAAGACTGGACTATTGGTGGGCATTGATAGAATTGTCGTGAGAATGGTGAAAACAGAAAATGGAACTATCGACATTCCTGAAGATTCGGATATTTGGTTCTATACAATTGACCCCGTAACGGAAATCATTCTTGATAGGAACAGCACTCGACTTTATAGGTGAGTAATTGCGTTTAGTTCCTTTCGTTGATAAGGGGAAACAATGCAGAGAAGAGAGAGAGAGAGAGAGATTATTTTCTATTGAAGCTATTGAAGAAAGATTTTCGAAACTGTAAGAAATTTTAATTGGAAAAAGGAAAAAATTGGAATTCAGGAGAAGGGAAAGTAAAAAATTGTAAATTCGAACTGAAAAAAATTTTTAGAAAACTTTTTTAGTAAAATGTTCGATAAAATGAAAAATTGAAATTAGAAAAAGTATAAAATTGTAATGAAAAAAAAATTATAAATTTCAATTGAAAAAATTTTGTACAAATTTGTTTACGTTTATTAAATTTCAATTTTCAAAGTCGGTGAAGTTAACAACGATTTAAATTGGAAAAATATATTTTTCACTCGGAAGAAAATAAAATTTTAGTTAAGAACGTTTTCCTTTTTCAAATAATTGATCAAAATTTGCAAAAGAAATTTTTATTTGTGTGAAAAGTGAAATATTGAAATTAGAAATATTTAAAAGTTGGAATTAGAAAAACTGGAAAGTAAAAAATTTTAAATTTGAATCAAAAAAAAATTCTTCACTCGGAAAACAGTAAAATTTTGTTAAGAAATTTTTCTTTTTAAAATAATTGACTTTTGTCAACAGTGAAAAATGGAAAAATTTAGAAAAAGTTTGGAAAAGCATTTGGAAAATTTTCTGTTAAAACTTGAAAATATTTAAATAAATTGTTCGTAAAGGTTTTAAATTGAAAATTGGAAAAAGTAAAAAAGTAAAATTAAAAAAAGTAGAAATTAAAAATTTTCTAAATTTAAATTAGAAGAACATTTTTTTCACTTGGAAAAGAATAAAAATTTTGTTTAGAAATTTTTCTTTTCAAAATAATTGATAAAAATTAATAAAAAAAAAATGTTTTTTGATTTATGTAAAAAGTGAAAAATAATGAAAATTTGATTAGAAAAATGTTTTTTTCCAAAGAAATATTTCTGTAAAATATATCTAATTAATATTATACTTAATATTATTATAAATTTTTGTTTATATATTTTTTCTTCTCCTAATTCGTTGATGAACTTTGCAAAAGTTTAATTAAAAATACAGAAGTAAGAGCGTTTTGTTAATTTTTTATCATGGTTGGAACGAAACCAAATGTGAAAGTCAACCGACGGGATTCATGAAAAATAAAATAAAAGCCGTGTTTAAAGCAAGTACCATTCAAAGACCTACATTAAATTTTTATATTTATTTTTTTTTCACATTTTCTTTTGAAAATTTTTCAATTCTTTTTTCAATCCGTCAACTCTGACCTTTTTCTTTAATCTTTATGAATAGATCGAGTCTGTGATAATTAAAGTTTTCTAATTCTTTTCTCTAACTTTTTTTTCCACATTACATATATTCAGAACGGTAATTAAAAAAACAAATAAAAGTAAAAAAGAACAGAAAAAATTCTGTTTTTTTAAAACAGAATTTTTAAAACAGAAAAAGAATTAATTGGCAAGATTTTAACATTTGCAAATTTATTAGAGATTTTTTTTGAAAATTTCTTTTTCTAAAAGAGAACAATTTTTGTAGAAAACAAATTTTTATTTTTTTATTTTTTCTATAGAGAGACACAATTTCTGAAAAAAAAATGAGATTAAAGATTAAAAAAAAAAGGTTAGAATTGTTCAGTGTCTAATAATAATTAAAATTCAAAAGGTCATTATTATTTAAGGAAATACAAGACTGGTGGAATAATTGCAAATTATTGCAAAGGAGGTAGGAGAAAAAGAGAGAGAGAGAGAGAGAGAGTGAGTTGTTTGAAATGAAATAGAAGGGGAAAGACCCGTATATTCCAATCGCCCACACGTTAATAATTTTTTTTTCTATTTACTGTGCGTAATAATCACAAATTGGTCTCTCCGATTTTCAGATCAGTATTGGAGAAACATGCAATGTCGAATATTACCTACGACGTATCGCCTTTGATCCGAGCAACAGCCATCGAAATCCATGCACCAGTTATGCCATCGGAACAAGTTCGCACACAAACAGCAGTGGCTTTTAGTGGCGAGGTTTTTCCATATGCACTTATCATTATTGCATGCATTATCTTCGTACTCGGAATCGCCGGAATTATTTATATTTGTATTTCTTGGTCGAGGTAAGAATTTATTTTCGAAAATTATTTTATTTTTTCCTTTTTTTTTTGTTAAAATTTTCTTTTTCTTTGCAAACATTTTTTCTTCTCTTTCAAATATTTTCTTTCTTTACAAATATTTTTTCTTTTCTTCCAAATATTTGTTTTCTTTGCAAATATATTTTTCATTTCAATATTTTTCTTTGACAATATTTTATATGTTTACTAAAATTTTTATTTCCTCCAAATAATTTCTCATTTTTTGAAAATATGTTTTCCTGTCATTCAACTAATTTTTCTTTTCTTCAAATATTTTATCTTTCTTTGCATAAAATTTTTCCTTTCTTTCAAAGAATATTTCTTACTTTCAAAATTTTTTTTGTTTCTTGGTTAATATTATTTTCTTTTTTCTTTGGAAATATTTTTTTCTTTGAAAATATTTTTTCCTTTCATTCAAAGGAAATATTTTATTTTATTTTATATTCAAATATTTTTTTGTTTGCAAATATTTGTTCTTCTTTCAAATATTTTGTCTTTGTAAATATTTTTTTCTTTCTTTCAAAGTCATCAGGTAACTTGTTCAAATTTTCCTCTCTTTTTTTAATTCGTGATTTCAGATGAGAAAAATAAAAGAACTGTACTTGAGAAATTTAATTATTCATTCTATAGTAATAAGAGAAAATTATTTTCCAGAAGAGTGCTCATTTTGGGTTTTATTTTACGTTAAAATGCAAATATTCCAGTGAAAAGTATAAAATTTCAAAATTGCTCTGTTGTTTCAATGAGTAGTACAGATAAGAAAATTGATATTGTGAACCAGTTATATTTACATAAACGGTCTTTTCGTTTACTGAGAAAATAGTCAAAGCGACTATATACAATTTAAATTTAAATTAAACACTTGAATCGAGAAATATTTGCCTAATTGATTAATAATAAAAAAATGTAAATGTAAATAACATTAAAAAAATAATATAATGAAAATAATAATTAAAAGAATAGTAATGAAAATAATAATAGAAAATAAAAATAATATTGTTTGGAGCAGTTGTTATTTTCATGCCCACAATTAATACAATTATGGTTCTTTCATCGTGTGAATTTATTCTTCTCCCTAATTAATTAAATTGACTCTAATTTAAGTTTCCGCAATTTTGTAATAGTCTATTATTACGTAAAGTTTCATGATAAAAGACACACTTTATGGAAATTAAACACATAAAAATATTCTCACTTTCAAGTTTTCATGAAATTTATTCAACATTATTTTTTCATTTAAAAATTTGTTTTCATTTTTTCATAAATGTATAACTTTTATTAGTATTTTATTTTCTGATTAAAAAAGAATTTAATTTACACATTCTAAAAATAATTTTACACGTTAAAGAAAGTTTTGAAAAGGAGAGAGGAAAATTTTAATAATGAAAATAGAGGTAAACAATTTATGAAAAAAGAAAAAAAAATTTTTAAAAAAGAAGCTGGAGTAAAATAAGAAGAAAACCAAATGAGATAAAAAGAAAAAAATTTGAAGGTGATATCAAACAATAAAGTAATTTTATACTTTAAAGAATGGAGAAATTATTGAAGACATAAGAGTGTAATTAGGGAAGATTTTCTTTAGTTTTTCACGAAATGTAATACTCCACAATTTTTAAAAACAATTTCAAACACAATTTTGTACTTTACTTTTATTTTCATTTATTTTTACAATATTTTGATTTTATTTTCATTCTGTTTTATTTTTATTTTTAATAATAAAAAATTCCCCTTAATTAAATTCTTTGCATGTTTTTTTCTATTTTCATTTCATTTCTTATTTATATTTTCAAAATTAAAAAACTTACCTTAATTTAATTTTTCGCAGTTTACTTTTATTTACTTACTTTTATTTTTAATAAAAAAAATTGAAATTAATTTAATTTTTCGAAAGTTTGCAATATATTCTATTTCTTAGTTTAAGTTCTTCTTTTAAAATTATAATTTTCGATTAAAATGAATTTGAAGGAAGGAAAATTTTTTGACTAAGTGTAGAAAATAAGAAAATTTTTTAATTTATTGTTTTTTGTGTTTTTTTTTAAATAGGTACAAGGCGTACAAGGATCGTATGCAGCGAATGTACGTTGTTCCGAGATATGACCCAGTTTACGTTGAACCAAATCTGAAGGAATATGAAACACAAGTCCTTCAAATGAGCGTTCCTGTCGATGATAATGACAGTTACAACGATTTACAGATCGACTTTAGTAATAAAAATCACGCCTTTAGCCTCGATAATGTGAGCTACATCACCAAAGATCCCGGCGAAAGTACAGGTATTGAATTACATCCAATAAAAATAAATTAATTGCTGAGGAAAAAAGAGGAAGTTCAATTATTGATAATTGAATTTTGAAAATGATGATGTTTTTAGATTAATAGAAGAGAAATATATGTAAATTTAATTTTGTAAATAAATAAATTATTTTTGAAAAGAATCTGTTTGATTTTGAAAAAAACTGTTCGATTCAGAAAAAAATGCTTCACTAGAAAAAAAAATTGTTTCATTAAAAAAAAAAACTGTTTCATTCAAAAAAAATAACTATTTTAAGTAAAAAAAAAATTTTTAATTTTCAAGCAAAACTGTTATATTTCAAAGAAAAAATTTGATTCGTTATTAAAAATTATTTTATTTGAAAAAAATTGTTTCATTTTGAAAAAAACTGTTAAATTAAAAAAAAAATCGTTTCATTAAAAAAAACTGTTTCATTGAGAAAAAAAGGTTAATTGGAAGAACATTTTTTTCCATTTCATTTTTTTTTTTTTTGTAGCATCCTACATTTCAAGAAAAAATTGTTTCATTAAAGAAAAATTTGTTTTTCACCAATTTGTTTTTCACGAATAAATAAAATTTATTTATATGACAACTTTAGGTCAACAAAGTCCTGTTAGTTCGGAAGCGGCGACAACGGCACGTGCATCAAGCATTGTTGGCAATCATGTCGATTCAAATATGCAATCATTGCGTCGTTCAACATTAGGAAGAAAAAATGGAAATGAAATCAATACTTTAAATAATCATCATACTCCGGTTCTCAATCCACTTTATAATCAGGGCGGAGATATTTTAAGTCACAGTCCATCCAATGACAATGTGATTTTTCGCGAAAGAAAAGACTACTCCCATCTTGGATTTACTTACTTAGGGGATCAAAGTCCCGTTGAAACTACTACGGAACTTTGAAATAATTTTTAATTACCATACTCTTTTTTAATATCCAAAGCGATGATGCGAAAACGTACTGAAAAAAAGAAAATTAATTCTATTATTTCCCGACCGCCAAAAAAAAAAAAAAAAAAATTAATTAAAGTTACAATCAAAGACTTATATAATATACTTCAATTTTTGATATTTCTCTATATTTCTTAGAGAAAAATCGATTTTACTAGATTTTTATATATTGAATGTAGAATATATTAATTAATGCGATATTAGTAATGGAATATTGATTCGAATTTTTTATCTGTTAATAAAATGTTGATTAATACTTTTCTAATTTACTTCGAAAATATTGATCGATATTTTTCTTTATCAGTAAAATATTAATATTTTGCTTTGCTAATTAAATATTGATTAATATTTTTCGTTGTTAATAAAATATTGGTTAGTATTTTTCTTTGTCAATAAAATATTGATTCATATTTTTTTAAGCGGAGGGTGAATCGATACTTTTAACAATATCGAGAAAATATTAATTCAAATCTTTCCTAAAAAAATAATTATTGTATTTTTTTGTGAGCAATCCAATGGGTTAGGAAATATTTTGTTTCATTTTGAATTTTCATTTTTCCTAAAAATTGATAAATTGTGAAATCCATTTATTAATTTTTTTACAAAATGTGTTTTTGTATCCGCAAAAAAAATTGCCCAATGAATAATTTGATAAATATAATAAATAAATATAAATATAATTTATTTTCAAAAGAAAATACTTCAAAAATAGTAAAAATAAAAATTTTTCACTCGGAAATTTTTGTGTGGATACAAAAACCAATTTTCTACCGAAATTCTCGCTAAAAAATATCATTAAAAAATTTTGTGGAATAATATATAAATATTTTCTTGATTTTGTTAAAAATATCGGTGTATTCTCGATTTATTAAAGAAAATATTGATTAAAGTTTTTTAATTTATTAAGAAAATACTGATCAATATTTTTTAATTTATTACAAAAACACTAATTAATATTTTAATTTACTATTAAAATATTGGTTGATATTTTTTTAATTTAATACGAAAATACTAATTGATATTTATTACTCTATTACAAAAATACTAATTAATATTTTATTTTACTACGAAAATACTTTTAAAGACAATTTACTTTTTGTTTTGTTATTTTTATTATTCGAAAACACGAAAAGTGGAATTTTAGAAAATCAAATCTTGTGAAATATCGAAAGAACTGAATTTGTAGAATTTTTTTACAGGCCAGAAACGATTTAAAAAATGGAACTATTCTTTTTTTGAATAATGTGATCATTTGGTTTTTATTTTATTGACAAATAATGTAAAATTTTTATAAAAATAGACAAAAGTAAAAAATATTTTTTTTATTTTTTTTTTTTCGAAAATTGTGAAAAAATTCATGGAACAATGAAACTCGATAGAGAATTTTTTGTTTTTGGAATTGTTTATAATTGCAATTTATGTCAAATTAGTTGTATTGTTTTTAATTCTTTTTAGTTTGATTTTTTTTTTTTTTGAAAATTTAAATAATTTTTTGTTCTACAAAAAAAGCCATAAAAGTTAAAATAAAAAATTTGGGAAAAAACCATAATTTAAATTCAATAAAAAAATTGAATTGCAATAAAAGTTTAATTTTTCAATAAATAATTTGAATTGAAATATAAAAATTCGATTTTTCAAGAAAAAATTGAGCTGAAATAATAATCCAGTTATTCGACAAAAACTAAAATTTTGTCTAAAGAAAAACAAAAAGATTTTTCTAGATTTTTAGACTTAAAAAATATTTAATATCCTGTTTAGTTCAATATCCAAGAAAGCAAGGAAATTAAATTTTCTGTTTGTTTTGTTTTACTAAAAGAAAAAATTAAAGTTGAGAAAAATTTTTTATTTTATCTTCCTGATACTTTTACGTTAAAGAATTTTTTTCTCCATCTATTCAAGAAACAAATGATTGTATATTTCAAAGAAGTATGGTTCAAAGAGAATTACTAAATTTTAGAGAAATTTCAAAAGAATTCATACAAACTCAATTATTTTTTTTTAATTTCAGATGAATTATTATTGTAGATATAAAATAAATAAAAATTCGTATTTCTCACATATTATGAAGAGAATCACTGTGGATTAGTGAGAAGATATCGATTTGTTTTTTGTCGATATAAATATATATATTTTATGACTTATCAAAGGAGAGAATCTCATTGTGAATTGTTTCTATTTATTGTGAAACGAGGCGGTAAGCCATTCGATTCCAGAAGAATGCTCGAGAAAAATATTGTTTTATATAGAAATGTATATGTGAGTGAAACTAGAGAAAATGTCAATATATTGTATTTTGAATTTAACAACGTTAATTTATGTATTATAGATTATTTATGTAATTTCGATTGCTCATTTTTATATTATTATTATATATAATTATAATATCCTAATGAATGTGAGTAGAATGGAATGTTTGAGAAATAATAATGTTAGAAATTCTCTGTAAGGGGCGAAATGTTGTTTTTTTTTTTGTAAAGAAAATTATTTTGAAAAAATTGAAGTAAAAAAAAATTAATTGTATTAATTAATTCACGGAAAGAAAACTAAAAGTTTCGATAATTTACGAAAATTTGTACTTATTTTAGATGAAGATTTTCTTCCGTGTAAATTAAATTCATTAAATTCATTTTCTAATAATTAGTAAATTTTAATTAAAGTAATTTTAATTATTACTATCGACTCTGGATACTACGAATTTCGCCCCAATTTTTTATGGCCTCATTTTAAATTCTCATTTTTATCTCCTTTAAAATATAAAAGAGAATTTTACTTTGACTGTAAAATACTCGATGTAAAAGAAATTTTTCTTTCATTTTTACATCGAAGAGTATTTTTTAATACCGACCATTATTCATTGGGACTTTACGTTAAGTATCTGGTCGAAAGAAAATTGTCTTTTAAATCGAGTTTAGAATTGGGGGTAACGATAGACTATGGGGCCATTTAGCTAAATGAGAATTTAGTGAGAATGAGATGAAACTATTGTTTTTTTGAAAGTTAATTAATTTTTAATTTAAAAAATAGTATAAATGCAACGAAAATATGTAAAGGCTTTGTACTTATATGTATTAATAATCTAAAGTGTATTTTTTGTCCGAAGCTAATCTAATTTAACTCAAAGACTTGTCTCTTCTTTATCATTTTTTTTTCTTTATAAAATAGATGAATATTCCTGTAAATAAATATTTTCTTATAATTTTTTGTTTATATAGTTAGCGTGAAGAATTTTTTTTTTTTTGTAAACTATTTACGTGGATATTATATTATACTGCCAATTAATCGGACAATATTAGGTACAAAATGTTATTGTCCCTCTGGTTGATTAATTCTTAAGTGGATGATTTTGTAAAAGCCATTGTAAAAAACTTGTTAATACAAAAAAATAATTATTATATTACTCGCAATTTTTTATTCTCCATGGATTTAATAATTATTTATTTTTTCACAAGGTGTATATTATTTATTTTTCCACTATTTTTTTTTCGACAAAAAAAAAGAATATTTTTTTAAATAAATATAATTAATTTTCAAAACAGTAATATTTATTTTTTATTCATTTTTTTAAATAAATAATATTTATTTTTCTATCGAGCAATAATTCTCAAATAAAAATGATATAAAAAAATAATAAATATTTCATTTCGATCACTTTTTTCATAAAAATATTCTTTTACTAATTCATTTTTTCTTGTTTTCAGAATTTCCAGCAATTTTCATCAAGTAGAATTCTGTTTCGTAAGTTAAGTAAGTAAGAGACGAAGAGAGAGAGAGAGAGAGAGGTCAAGAAGTGGTTCTTCAAAAAAGTTATTCAACATGAAATCAAGCGTTCTTGTGATTTCATTCAATTGCAGAATTTATGAGGAAAAACGAGGAAATAATTCAAATAATTTTAAAGATATTTAATAATTTAAAAATTTAAATTTTGTAAAAAATATAAAAATAACAATATGAAAATATTAAAACAAAATAAAATCATTAAAAAAGTGGAAATTTATTAAAATTAGATATTAATAATCTTCGTAATTTTAAGTTAATGGCTTCTCTATTTTATTGTTTTCTAGTTTTTCTTCGATAATTTTTCCTTTTTTGAAATGTATTGAATTTATTAAATTAAAATTAAATTATTGATATAAGTAGAAGAAAAATTATTTTATTTTTAATTCAAAATAATTTCATTTAATTAATTTTTGTTATTATTTAAGTAATCTTCAAAACGTTAAGGTACAATTTCATTAATTTTAAAATTTAAAATACTGCAAAAAAATTTAGAAATTTTTTTTCTATAATTTGCAAAATAACACAATTTTTGCCAAGAATTTTATTGAAGATTTTAAAGAATTTGATCGATGAATTTTATTAAAAATTTTGAAAGTAATTGAATTGTTTCGAAGAATTTTTTTATTTCTAAAAATAATTGAATTCCTTCAGAGAATTTTAATATTTATGAAAATAATTGAATTTTTACCAAGAATTTTATCAAAGTTGTTTAAAAACAATTGAATTTTATCCATGAATTTTATTACCATATTTGAAAGTAATTATTGAATTCTTTCCATGAATTTTTTTTTATTTTAAAAAATAATTGAATTTCTTTAGAGAATTTTAATATTTCTGATAATAATTGAATTCTTACCAAGAATTTTATTGAAGATTTTGAAGACTTGTGAATTTGATCGATTAATTTTATCAAAATTTTTTAAAGTTATTGAATTCTTTCGAAGAATTTTTTTATTTTTAAAAATAATTGAATTCTTGCAAGAAAACTTTAATAAATATGAAAATAATTGAATTCTTTCCAAGAATTTTATTAAATATTTGAATAATTGAAATAATTGAATTTGATCAATGATTTTTATTATAATATTTAAAAGTAATTGAATTGTTTGAAAGAATTATTGTATTTCTAAAAATAATTGAATTCTTGCAGAGAATTTTAATATTTATGAAAATAATTGAATTGTTTCGAAGAGAATTTTATTAAAATATTTTTGAAAATAATTTAATTGTTCCGAAGAGAATGTTATTAAAAATTTTGAATCTAATGGTAATTCAAAAATCAAAGTTGTTATTTGAAAATAAAAAGTTTTACGATTTGCAATAATAAGCATAAAATTAACCTTCTCCAGGTATAATCTACTGTAAATATTATATATACTTTCATTTTCAACAAAACTTGATTTTCAAAAATAATATTTTTCTGACGTCATTCAGTTTCATGTTTGATGTAAT